CAGGCTGTGCAGGACTATAGGGGGATGCAAATCTCTAGCGAATCCTAAAGGGCTACATGTAGATGGCACAAGGGGAAGCAAAACTGATTGTCATCTGTACAATGTAGGCAGCAGTAGAGATAGGTCTGACAACTATTTCAAGGGACAACATACAGAAAAAAGAGAAATGTGAAAATGGACCAGTGAACCATGAACCACTGAAGATATATTTCTGCTTTAATGGAGAGCACAAAATCTGATGCATCTCTGCATAGAAACCAATCAGCTTCCAGTTTTATTTGTCAAAGCTTATTGAACGAGCTGAAGTTAGAAGTGGATTGGCTACCATGCACAGCTGCACCAGATTTTGCACTCTCCTGTTTTAGTAAATCAACTCCCAGGTGTCAAGGCTAGTGGATAGTAAATCTGCCAGCATTCATTGGGGAGAGCAATTAGTTCAAAAGATTTGTCAGTACCCTTGAAATTTTCCAGAAAACTTCTTTTCCTTTTGACAAAAAAAAGGACCAACCATATATTGTCTAAATGCTGCAAGTAATATTAGAACTTGAAATTTTCAATCCATGATTAGTGGTCTTCAAAGGTGGACATTTCTCATAGAGCATTTCCTATTCACAGGAATCAGCCATAATTTAAGCAATGCATGGACATGTTATAGCCAACAAAAAAAGCTGTATGTTGTCAGCCCACAACAGGTCTTGTGGTATTTCTGGCAGATCAAGAGGTATTTTGTGATGTGCCTCATTCACACCACAACACTGGTGTGATGTGTGATGCAGTGCAGGGTGGAAAGAGGCAGATATCATCAACGTAATGTACTGCACTGATGCGGATACATGAATGAAATGTCACTGTACAGTATCTACAACAGTTTAGCCTTTTGTATTCTCAGTGGAAATCTTGTTAAACAAACAGAAATATTTATACCATTGTTAACTTTGGATATGTTTCCACTCCAGACGTCACTTGAGCAGTAGGGCACAAAACTAGAGAAAGAAAAGAAAGTACCTATTATAAAATGTGCTTTACCACAACAATTTGGAAACCATTTTTCAGTAAAACTCACAGATCACTGAGCAACAATTCCCCTTTCTCATTTTTGCATCTGGTGCACCACCCACTTGTCAGTAAGGCCATCAGCAGACTTCTGAGGAGCTCAGGATACACCTGCTCTGAGCTTTAGCAGCATCCTCTCACATACTTTAAGAGCTGGTTCACATCAGAATGCGGCCCTGGAAGGCATGTTCCATGGTAATTTTTCACATCACGAGCAAAACGCACTGCCTTTGTGAGCTGTTGCAGGTGCCAATGTATTAATACCAGCACAGCAAATGCATATTGCCAACGCAGTGCATTTGTGGCCACTAAATCACATGGTACTACAGTACCATGCGATTTGGTGCGATGCACTTTTTAAAAGTAGTCCATGCACTACTTTTTTCCACCTTTCAGTGCAATTTGCAGTCCATCCAAAAGAATAAGCTGGCTGCAAAATTGCACCATGCAGGAATCGCACAGGAATAAATGCCACGTTTCTGTGCGATTCAGGTGTAAACTGGCTTTATCATCTAATAAGAAGTTACTGGAGCTTTTAAGTTGCTATTAACAGCTCCTTGTCTTCCAAAAAACATTAGAGTTGATTTCCTAAAGGAAAATAAGCTGTTCACTTTGCAAGAGAAGGTGCACTTTGCATGGGAATTTTCCACAGAGTTGAATGTGGTGAAGAAACACTTTGTAAAGAATGCCCAACCACTTGCAAAGAAAATTTTTAATAAGCGTTCTTGTTTGCACATAATTGAATGATGGAAGTCAGCAGAACTTCATCTCATTCACTAATTTCTGGGACAAATTCCCCTGCAAAGTGCAACTTCTCATACAAATTGAGCAGCTTATTTGCCTTTAGTAAATCAACCCTATTGTCCCCTTTGTAGAGCTTACCATTCTAACATCACTGCCCCCTTTAGAGATGTCTGAGAGCGAAACACTTAGGCAAGATGGGGCTCTTTCCCAGCATTTGCTGCCCAAAAGCACATTTGCACACTATTTTGAAGCAGTTCTCAGGCCACTCAAATAGGCTCTTAAAGCAGACCTTCACTCCCCACACCTACTTTCCCTAATATTAATCTTTCCCCCTCCTTTCACAGCCCCTCACTTCTGTATGTCTCATCTAAGTGAGAATGACAAAGCCCCCAAGCTCCCACTGCCTCCTTGGATGCTCATGTCACACATCTCAGGAGACTTCAAGTCAGCATTCGAAAATGCATGTGCCACTGCAGGGGGCCAGCTGTCTCTTCTTGGTTCTCTCAGCCAGCCCCTGATATCGCAGTGCGGAGCATGTGCTTTATCAAGGAGCCAGCTGTCTCTTCTTGGTTCTCTCAACCAGCCCCCAATATTGCACTGTGAAGCATGTGCTTTGTCAGGGGGCAGCTGTCTCTTCTTGGTTCTCTCAACCAGCCCCCGATATTGCACTGTGAAGCATGTGCTTTGTCAGGGGGCAGCTGTCTCTTCTTGGTTCTCTCAGCCAGTCCCCAATACCACAGTGCGGGACATGTGCTTTATCAGGGGGCCAACTGTCTCTTCGTGGTTCTCTCAACCAGCCCCCGATATTGCAGTGTGGGGCACATGCTTTATCCGGGGGCCAGCTGTCTCTTCTTGGTTCTCTCAGCCAGCCCCTGATATCATAGTGCGGGGCATGTCCTTTACTAGGGGGCCAGCTACAAGAACCAGAAGGAGACAGCTGACTCCTGATGTTATGAGAAAGCAAGACACAGAACCAGGTGAGAGCAGTGGAGTGGTGGATCACTACAGGATGCTTCTGGATTCACTGGGTGTGTGAGCACGCTACTGAGCATAACCCACCAAACCACTTCCTCTCTGCTGCTGAGTATAGATTGAGTTGATCTTAGCGCATCCTCACCATTTTGGGAGAAACCTTTTTTTATCCATGAATACAAGGCTTCCTCTGAGGTAGGTTCATAACTTCACAATCCTCACCTCAGCCAGAGGAAGCTTTGTGTCCATTGATAAAACTAAAAGGTTTCTCCTGAATGGAGGATATGTACTAAGACTGATTCAATCTATAATTAGTAGCAGAGAGAAAGTGTCTCATACTGCTGCCATAACACAGTATCACATACTGTATGCATCTGATGCTAGCACGATTACAACACACACAGTGGCCAGACTGTTCTTTCATGGAGGTAATTCATTTTGGCCAGCATATCCCAAACAAATTAATTAAGATGATAGTAAACCTGGAATTCTACTTCTACACTCAACAAAGCATTTCTGCAATTTTTTGTTGTCACTACTGACTAACTCAGCCTTTTTCAACTAGGGTGTCTTCTAGGGTCTTCAGGGGTGCCTTGGGAAAACAAATGCCTACAAAATTGCCCAAAAAATGTATACAAGCCAGCAGGTGGATCAAGCTTGCTTTTTTATTACACAGGTCACAGGTTTCCATTGTTTAATATTACAACTGTGGACACTGTACAGGCCAGCCACCAGCATCCTAACAAATGCTGATATTATTGGTGGATAAGGAGTACATCAGGCACCTGCATAGCATCCTTGTTTGCCCCGCCCCTTTCTTTCAGCACTGGGGTCACGTTGGTTGCATAGGCCAGTGTTTCTCAACCTTTTTTCAGTCAAGGCACCCTTTAAAATTGTGGATAGTCCCGAGGCACCCTCAAAATTATGGACAGTCTTGAAGCACCCCATTCTAGTTTTAAAAGGGCACCTCATTCTAAAATGTGAAAAATTATTCTAATAGGTCTATATAATGCAGCAACATCCACACATGTAGGACACCCAACATTAGAGGTGATTTAGTTTTCCAAAGCAAATACACCATTGCACACTAATACTGAGTAGTATTCCAATGTTTCTCTTCTCCCTCAGTTTTTCTCCATCACTGAGCTAATTTGACCCCAGCACTGATGGTGAGGTGCAGGGGAGGGTCAAGCTAGGATGATATGCAGGCAGCTGACATCCTCCTTATCAACTGATGATGTCATTGGTTGTCAGGATGCCAGCGGCTAGAAAGTGGTAATGCTGCACAATGAAAACCTGTGGCTTTGTGTAGCTAAAAAGCAGATTTGTTCCACCAGCTGGCTTGTATACAAGCTTTGGGCAATTTTTAGACATTTTGCCAAGGCACCCCTGAAGAAACCTCAAGGTGCCCCAGGGTGCCTGGGCACCCTGATTGAGAAAGGCTGGCATAGGCTATAGAGCATGAGTAGGAAGAAATGCTGGAATACTAGTCAGTACAAGTGGGCAATAGTGTATTTGCTTTGAAAGAATAAATCACCTCTAATGTTGGGTGCCCAATGACGATGGATGCTGCTGCTGCACTATGCAAAACTATTGACTTTTTATATCTTAGAATAGGGTGCCTCAGGATTCCCATAGTTTCAAAGGGTGCCTTGACTGGAAATAGGTTGAGAAACAGTGAACTAACTTAACAATCAATTCAAGTGTATGTAAAACAAAACTCCATACCTGGGTGCAGTAAGTATATCAATACACAAAATAGAAAACGTTCCACCTTCTTTATTTGACAAGTCACATTACAGGGGTGGACATTTTTCTGGTTTTGTGCAGTTTTGGATAGAGTGTGTTAAAACCCTTATTAGGTTTATATTGCTGCCTGTGACCCTGATAGGATAATTTGTCATCTTTTTTTGTCTTTAGTACCATGGTCTCCAGCACAGACACTGATGGGAAATGCAATATTTTAGGGTTGCCACTGAAACAAGGGGGGAGAGGGAAGCTCCCAAAATGAACTGGCAGCTGTAGTGTAAGCTGGATTGCATAGCTGTTACATTCAATGATTTTACATGCTGCATGGAGTTCTTCTGTAGTCAAAAGATTTATGCAAATGTTTTTATGTATTCCTCGTAACTTGGCATTGGGTTTTCAGTGTTTGTGTGCTACTATCCTACATTTGGTTTAATGTACAGTATTGGAGATATTCAGAGACAGATGATCATGCATTTTTGTTTTTAGTAGACATTTACATCCTTTCTGGATAATTCTTTATACTTATCACCATCATAGTAGACATACACAGCATTTAGATTCCACCAGTGAGGATTCTCATCTTGCCTGGGTGAGAGAACTCCTGTGCCTGTCAAAAATAACGATTGCAATGTATATCACTTAAATTGCATTTCTGTGGTCAGAGCCGCTTTAAAGTATATAATATATATATCACATCAGAATGCCTCAGAACAATTTGCAAAGCCCATGTACTGTATAAATCCAATTTTATATATGTTGTCATTGTAGAAATAGATCTTTTTAGTTTTTTTTTTCTAAAAATATAAACTGTGTCAAGAGAAGTTTTCACCAAAACGAAAAAAAATTATGTTGCAGCTTTATATTTACATATTTTAAAAAAGTTTTATTGATTCATTGGTCATATACATGTAATTGCTAACTGTGGCTGCTTAAAGGATACAAAACCCTAAAATAAATGATCATGACATGCCTGACAAAAGGGTCCTGTGCAGCTCTGAAATGTTGCATCATGTTTCTATGATGTGATCATTCTTCAATAAAGTTTTGGACATAATTGGACGTTCCATGTTGTGCTAGCGAATATGTGCATTGGATTCTCTCACTTATCAGAAACATGCCCAATTGTGTGTGTTCCTGAAATGCAATAATTTGAACCTAGCCTAATATCCACCATTCGAGTAGAATAGAATGACATTTTGTATGTGAGAAACAGCTTGTCTACCATATACTATGCAGTTAATTGTAAGCGTTGAGGGTATGACCATTCTTGATTGAATAAGCTGAAGGTTTTGTGTTTGGTGACTCTAAGTATGGAATGAATAAGGGTAATAGACTTTGAAACTCCAGAGGTCATCTCTCCCTGGTGAGAAGATGGTGCAGAAGTCTAATCTAAATACTTCATTATAATAAAATTTACAAGAGAGACTTTATACTGTGTATATTGGTGAAGGGAACAAACTCCAAGGTGGCTTCATCTATGAGACTATGATGTTCTTATGAAAATGTAAATACAAACTGCCTTTGAAAAAAGAGATGGTAATTATTACTGGATTGACCCAGTGGGAGCCCCAAGGATTGTGTGAGCTCTGGGAGAGTCCAGCTGGGCTTATGGAGTTCCATTGATTTAGTTAAAGGTGAAATAAGACTTTTGTGATGAGAGTCAACTCATAAGGCGAGCGCCAAAAGAGGAGATATAGAGAGATAGAGGTGTGTCTATTACACACCATTTTCACCGGATTGAGCTGTTTTTGTGGATGTGATCACAGCTTCACTCAAGGACATTTACAGTATATGTAGGACTTAATTTTCTGTCTTTGGACTACACTGTATATTATATACTGTACACATTTTATATTAGGCACAATTTTGATTTGTGTTAATTTTGTTTTACTGATTAGGATAATTTAAAGTACACAATATTATTGTACATATACATTAGAGTGAGTTTTCACTTTTTGTGCTTGCAGATCTGATTTAATTTATAGCTGGTGCTCAGAGTCACATTTTTATATAATTCAATGCTATGACGTAAACTATAGCAGAAGTTTTAAAATAAGCATCAATTATAAAAATTTACATAAATAAAGCAAACACCTACTTTTATAATACTGACTAATATTATAATGAATGAATTGGTTATTGAAAATGTGTATTAAATTTTAGTTGATGTAATCATAGAACAATGACAAACATATACTTTAAGTAGCCAATGGTAACTTACCTTTTCTGGTCTTTGGCCAGTTTGAGGAACTCATTAACCGTTTGGCACTTTTATATCTGATATCACATGTCTCCTTACTGTAACAACACCATCCCCCTTTTCATAGAAAAAATGGAAAATTATTTTAATGCAATATATGATAATGCAATAATCAAAACTCTACTTTTATTAAAAAAACAATTGATTTTGAGATATCTGTGATACTTGTGTGTATGTGTGTATATATATATATATATATATATATATATACACACATATATAATGCAGCAGCAAATAAAATATAATATATATATATATATATAATATTTTATTTGTTGACTCTGCATCCTATCTTGCATATTACCTTTGTAATCTAAAGCCACTGAAAACTGGAAACATTACAAATATCACCTTGCAATATAACAACCTGAAGTTCTTACTCCCTGAAATATTTTCTGCTGCATGATTACAAATTTGCAGAAAATAAATATAGAATCGTTGCAATGTTCACAATTTACTTGGAGGGGATTTTTTTTCTCAGCAAAACCAGCTTTTGTGCTTAAAAAGAAGCATTCCTGCATTTTGTGCCACTTCAAAACAGAACCAAAAATACTATCTCCTGAACATAGTGATATACAATTCAATAATAGTCACCATCCCTTCACAGTATTGGATGTGTTTTGTAAATATAGATGCTGGAAACAGTACAGAAATGTAGAGCAGTTATCCAAATGTCCTGTCCGTACTGGTAGAAGGCAACTTTAGTTTGCTAAAGAACTTTGTATCTGTTAACACCATTTTCATCCTTTTTTTTTCACATTAGCCCTGCCGACCTTCTCCAGCCTCTTTCACTGTCTGTGTTGCCATCCAATTAAATATAGCTATGGTTTTCTAACCTAGAAAAGTAACAGATGAAATCTGAATATTTTTTATTTATTTCAGTTTTACATACCCTGAATCAACATCAACAAGCAGATATATAAATGTCAGTTACCTACTTCAACCAGTCAAATATTACTTTTCAGCAATTTAATACAGGAAGACTTTTAGGTTGCTGCCCTATATTGTATTTTCCAGATTTCTCTTTTCTTATTAAGAAGAACAATTAAACCTAAACTAATTGCATCACAAAAAAATGTAGAGTTTCAAATGTCTCAGTTTGTTTTTTTTTCTAAAGGCAAATAGGCTGTTCACCTTGCACGGGAATATTCAGTTTGCATGGTAATTTACCCTTCGCTTAGTGTACAGAGTGAAAGTTCACTTTAGGCTCCGCTCACACCAATGCGTTTTTTAGTGCTTTTTGAAGAAACGCACTACAGTCCATTTAACATGGTTTCTTATGGAACATGTTCACATCTATGCTTTTTTTTGAGCTGTTGCATTTTTGGAAAGGGTCAGGGACTTTTTTAAAAGCAAAAAGCAGCATTTTTGCTACAATAGAGTTCAATGGAGAATCTACTGAAATGCGTGGTAGTGCGTTTTTTGCACGTTTTGCATTTTTATTCTGCCCAGCAAAAAAATTCCACCTTACAAAAAAAAAAAAAAAGAAGTTGAGCAAAATGCTGTAAATGTGTCAAAAAAGCATCAAAAACACATGTAGAAAAATGCAAAACGAACTGCGAAAAGCACTGCAAAACGGACAAAAAGCAAACTGCATAGGTGTGACAAAGAATACCTAATCATATGCAGGGGGAAAAAGAAGCATTTTTGCTTACATATAGTTGGAAAATGGAAGTCGGTTGAGCTTCACCTTATTCACTAAGATAAGGAAAAGTTTTCTTGCAAAGTGAACAGCAGAGTTTAAGTGATACCCTTTATTGACTAACTTACATTATTAAAGATGCAAGTTTTCGGGATAACTTAGATCCCTTTATCAGGTTCTACAAGTTTTACTTACTGCATTAATTTAAGGGTAAAACTGTACAACAGTATACTACAGCTTAAAAAACTAAATCTGCATAGGCTTAGACCTGCTCAGTTATGGTATGTCATATCAAAGCTGAGAAGATCTGGATCATGCTCCTATCATCCCGACATGCATATTAATAAACTAGGGATCACTGGGTAGATACCTCAAGACACTGAGGTATGTAGGGAGGATCATCTTTTATCTATTGTATCATTAAGACAATGGACTGAAAGCACTTAACAAGTATGGGCACTGGCTGGATAAACAAAGTACTTCCTGTCATGTTGTATTGTACTTTATCAAATTGAAACTCAGGAAAGTGCCAATTTTATCACAACCTTTTCACTCCTTGCACTTCATAGCTTTCTTCTTATCTGGGGTTGTCTAATTATTGTTTGTGTTGTCCCAGCTCCTCTGCTCCTCCTCTCGCCTTTTTAACAGAACTTTTTATGTAAAAGGTGAATACTAGAGTGTCACTTGAGTGACAGCTTTGAGTTTTCTTGGGCTACTGACATCACAACAAAGATCTATTGCCCAGCATCAGTCTAGCAACAGTAGTCTTGTAACAGGATCCCTTTTGTTATTTAGATTTTATCACTAATAAATTCCTTGTTCCATTCATGTATTAGTTTTCTAGTTACACAATTTTTATTCCAGTCTGTGGAATTCTGCACTTTCCCTTTCCATAAGTACCTTCCAAAAATATAATCCATCGTTTGTTTGCCTTGGCTTCTCGTATGTAGTACCTACAAATAACCAAAAAGATAGCCATAAGAGTCACATAGTTGTTCTGTCTTGCATAAATGGTCTCTAGATAGTCTTACCCTGCTGTTGTGCCATCATTACAAGTCACATGTGTGTTCTTCAGAAGATGGAGCTTCATATCTTCGGAGGATCTGTGCTCACGTGGAGGCGTCAGCATTGGACCTCTTGTTGAAAGCATTGGATGTTGCAGTATAGAAATGTTAGATGAAGTTATTGATTGGATGGGCAAGGGGTAATATTCAATGCCTTGCTGAGGAATTTCTTTATCTTGAGATACAGTCTTCAGCATTTTATTGGCTCGTTTGTTCTGAGACCTCACTTGGCTTAGGAATAGTAAAACCACAAAGGACTCTGTGAGCTTCATAGCTGCTTGTACTTGACCTTTTATCAATCTCTTCCCTCAACGATTTCAACATGTAGTGCCAATCAACCCTGTGAAGAGATACCTAAGTTGTGTTTTCAGAAGTTCTGCTATGGTTATTAATAAATATGATATCAATAATCCTTCCCATATGTGAAGTGATTTCACTGATGGTGTTGCATAGTTGAGTGTCCTTTTGTGAAATTAGGCACTATGTGGCTTAAAGTCCTACTACTATAACAAAAATATGGTACTCTATAAACTGTTCGCTGTCAATAAAAGTATTTTTTTATTTCACATGACCATAATTATATTGTATAGAAAAATATACATGCATGCGAAATAAAAAAGAATGAGCATGCAGAATAACATTAATGCATGTATAAAAAGTTCTTATTTTTCTTAAATATGCCCTAGTGGGCAAGTTTTCATATTACAGATTTTGAGTGGCTTAGTATTGCCATAATCTCGCTTACTCCACTTGGCTGTTGCAAGAAATACTTGAAGATGAACTGTTGTTTGCAAGAAGTCTCCTATTAATGGGTTATGAGCCACATAAGGTTCTTAGCAGCCACTCACCATGAACTCAATACCATTGTGTATTTAACACATCCAAAGTTATAAAAGTCCCATAACCATGAAGTCAAGTAGGGTTTACTTAATTTATTTCACTAAAATAAAACTAATTAAAAACTATTTTTTCATGTTCCACATTCTATGCATGAAAGAGGTTGTGGACCTCTGACATACTGAATGACAAGCATCAAAACGTTTTATCCATACAGTAATTCAATATGCTCATGGTTCCCAAAAACATTATTCAGATGGTGATTAGAGTCCTAGCCAGATTTTTATTTATTTTGTTTGGTCATGAAAAACATTTGCTTTTAAATATGGAATTTCTTTCAAGACCAGTGTATGTATATATATATATATATATATATATATATATATATATAAATGTTAATCTGAACAACTACCAAAAATATTTTAGACAACTGTACAAATGTAATTAAAATTTATGCAGACCCAATGTTGCTACCATGACAGTTGGCAATTTTCTTGTATGGGATTACTGTAGAAGAAATGTGGAATGTATTTTAAAAAATACTGCTCCCTGATAAACCACAGTCATTTAAAAATGTATCTTCTGACCTCCTGTAATGTTTATATTCTGTAATATATGTTTAGTGGCCCTTTAGGATCTAACCAAAAAGCTGAATGAACTTACCTCTATTTGTGGATAAGCCACCAGAGTAAAGTGTGAGAGCTCTGAGGACAGACCTGTCAGACAGTAGTCCCACTCAGAAAGAAAACACTTCCTCTGTAGATGTGGTGCACATATACTGTATTTTGGATGGCAGCTGGATGACTCATTGATCTGTAAAGGGGATTACAAGCCTAGTCCCCTCACATCCCTGAAATGCAGGACATCCACAGACATCAAAGAGACATGCCTTGCCAAGGTTAAACTGCTTAACACCATCATTGCTGTGGAACAAAGAATGCACAGGAGTTTTCCCCAAAGACCGAACATGTTTGTTGCTATTTAACAGGAAGTAAAAGTTGCATAACTAGAGCTTTGCTTCTAATTATTTAATATTAAAATTGTATGGCAGTAGACATGGCAATCAGCTAAAACAACTCAGTAAAGTAGTATATCCAAATGTGGTCTAAATGGCTAAATGAAGTTTAAAATAATGAAATTTTACAACCACAATTAAAGCAAACCTGTGGGCTCACCTTATATTCCTTGGATTAAGTGCCTGAAAACAGGAGAGGCAGCTGGAATGGGATAAGAGTGTTGGACACAGGCTATGACACCTGAACAGCGGATATCTGCAGGACAACGCTGGATCAGCTGGGCAGGTGAGTATAAATTCCAAAGAGAACCCAGCATAAAAGGTTTGAAGGGCTTAGAGGAGGAAAGTCAGGAGGTAAGGAGTGAGGTTCTTCTTTAAATACAACAGCAGCACTTCAATCTGATTTATTTCAATTCAAAAAAAAATTTAGGTAGTTTTGGCACCTGAAATTATCCTGCTGTCTCAGAATAAGTTGGATCCTTTGCCTACCGCTTCAATTCCTGTGAGGCAAAGGCAGCAGGAGGCAGAGGAGGAATATCAGGAGGAGGCTTGGGGTACTGGAGGTGAGCAGAAGGAGGGAATAGAACAGGGGGATACTTCACCCCTCCAAAACCTCGAGAGTTGTATGTGGGTGGGGGGTGATTGTTAAGGGCAATGTTGTTCAGTGACACAGAGGACTCAGGGTCATCTGCTTCAGGGAATTTGTGGTGAATAGGGTCCATTAGCTCAAATGCCTGCACATGGACCCCAGGATTCAAGTAATCAAACAGAGAGAACACAATATAAGATTCCCACTTCACAACGATAAAATGGGCAATTTACTATCACCATCCCAGAGAAAGACAAAAATGCAGCACTTTGAGTAGGTACTGCAGTAGAACCTATTTGCCACATTTTTTGTTGAGGGCAGGGTCCTCTCTGATGACCAAAGGGCCTTTGATCCTCTGATCTCTGAAAGGAGGAACTTTGGTGGCAGTGGCTGTCTCATCCAGGGGCGGACTGACAACTTATGGGTAATAGGGGATTATGGGACCCACGGGTAATAGGGGATCATGGGGCCCCTGTGTCCTTGCCCACACTCAAAGCACACCCAAAAAAAAGTCACCAGGGGCATTTCATGGGGCCTTCAAAAAAAGGGGATTTGTGAAAAGAAATTCACAGAGAAAGCGGCTACATTATGAACAGAACGTGACACTCAGAAAAATTTCCAAAAATTATGCTTTATTACACATATATAAATATGACATATGGGCATTCGCCCTGGTTTACCATCACCTCAGTATGAGACAATACACACAGACCTAAAACCATATAAAATGACACCAAGACCGGTCTAAATGCATGTGCAACAGAAAAAATGACTACAAGAGTCTAATGTCCCTGTAGCACAGACACATAGGTGAACACTTGTGCTGCTCACACTTGCCTCATGGCATGTGAAGATGGCTTCCTCCTTATGGGTCAGCGTGCGTTCCACCTAATGCGCATGACCGGAAGTGACGTACAGTTGTGACCAAAATTATTCAACCCCCAATGCTGTAAAGGGGTTTAGGGACTATAGTGTACATTTGGAATTGTATTCAGAATCAAATCCTACAAGGACGTTGTAACTACCCAAATGCAACTAAAATGACATCAATTGTTTATGTAATACAGTAGTAAATGGTTCTTATGTGGTTTCTTCATTGCCACAATTATTCAACCCCTTAAAGACTACCACTCTGAAGAACAGAGGTTCATACAGGTGCTTTCCATCAGGTATTGAAAACACCTGTGGATGTCACCGAGCAGCAATCAAGCATAATAAGCACCAATTAGGCAGCTTTAAAATGACTGTGATACTCAGCTCCTTCTAGACATTTACTGGTGTGGTTACAAACATGGTGAAGGCAAGAGAATGGTCCAGGAAGACAAGAGAAGAGGTGATTTCTCTTCACAGGAAGGGCAATGGCTATAAGAAGATTGCAAAGATGTTAAACATACCAAGAGACACCTTAGGAAGCATCATTCGCAAATTCAAGGCAAAGGGCACTGTTTGAAACGCTACCTGGTCGTGGCAGAAAGAAGATGCTGACTTCGACTGCTGTGCGCTACCTGAAGCGTAGAGTGGAGAGAAGTCCCCGTGTGACTGCTGAGGAACTGAGAAAAGATTTGTCAGATGTGGGAACAGAAGTTTCAGCCCAGACAATAAGACGCACACTGCGTAATGAAGGCCTCCGTGCCAGAACTCCCAGGCGTACCCCCTTGCTGTCTCCAAAGAATAAGAAGAGTCGACTGCAGTATGCCAAAAGCCATGTGGACAAACCACAAAAGTTGTGGGATAGTGTTCTGTGGACTGATGAAACAAAATTAGAACTGTTTGGGCCCATGGATCAACGCTATGTTTGGAGGAGGAAGAACAAGGCCTATGATGAAAAGAACACCTTGCCTACTGTGAAGCATGGTGGAGGGTCAATCATGCTTTGGGGCTGTTTTGCTTCTGCAGGTACAGGGAAGCTTCAGCGTGTGCAAGGTACCATGAATTCTCTTCAGTACCAGGAGATATTGGATGGAAACGTGATGCAGTCCGTCACACACCTGAGGCTTGGGAGACGTTGGACCTTTCAACAGGACAATGATCCCAAGCATACCTCCAAGTCCACTAGAGCATGGTTGCAGAGGAAAGGCTGGAACATTTTGGAGTGGCCATCGCAGTCACCAGACTAAATCCGATTGAGAACCCTCTGGTGGGACTTAAAGAAAGCAGTTGCAGTGCGCAAGCCTAAGAATGTGACTGAACTGGAGGCCTTTGCCCATGAAGAATGGGCGAAGATACCCGTAGATCGCTGCAAGACACTTGTGTCAAGCTATGCTTCACGTTTAAAAGCTGTTATAACTGTAAAAGGATGCTGTACTAAGTACTAAGATTGAATGTCACTTGGGGGTTGAATAAAACTGATAATGCTGTGAGCACAGAAAAGACATTTGTGGTTATTTCATTATAAATGTTATGTTATATTTGTCTGACCTACAAGTGCCTCTTTAATGTAAATGTAAGCAAGATGACTGAATGATCAAAAGCAATGTCAAACTGGCCAAAACACTCAATTTCAGTGGGGTTGAATAATTTTGGTCACAACTGTATCTGACGTATGACGCATATTGTGCTTGCTGCATTGCATACATGTGATATTT